TAATAGGAAACCAGCGGATTTCCTTAAACGACACATGGCAAAGGTATTGCATGGGTTTCCTCATCAATGGCGACATTACTATTGGATCATAATACTCTTTTCTCCTGTACACAAGTGATGTCTCTGAGTATTTTTCAACCCAGAGCTCCAAAGGCAGCCTCTACGAATGGATCACAATTGTCATACATCGAAAGCCCTCTGTATCAGAGCCAGTTCTCTGTGTGTTTGTCTCTGTCACTCCACTGGGCTCCTTCATGGAGTGATGCTGTTCATCTTAGAAACTTGAGGGCCTATTACTGTAGTTCCTACACTTAGTAGATTAGTAAATCTTGACTAAGTTGAAATTAACTAAGGAAAATATTAGTGGAACTGACTTGATGCTCTTGTTTTGGTAAATGTTGCAGAAATAAATGCATTTATTATAGAGACACAAATTGATAATAGAAGCAAGTGCTTTTAAATTACGTTTTAATTAGTTCTTAATATATTTGCCAAATTGTTAGCTGATGATATTTGAGAGGAGTTTTAGAATCTGTTTGGGGAGCTCTATGAAGTGCTGATTGTACATCCCCACCAGCCTCCCTCACCTGGGGCAGAAGGTACAAATCCCTGACACACTCTTCCTTTTTAGGTATGGCTTTTCCACCAAAAGCCTGAGTCTCTCAATCCTCTGACCAAATATCTGAGTGGCACCACTGGCTTTGGAAGGAATTACGTAACGACCCAGAAGGTAAATCTGCTTGTGCTGTTATTTTTCAGATACTTGCTGTGGGGCTGATGAATTAGGTCCCGTGTTCCTGACCAGCCCCCCCAGCCTCTCTTACCTGGGTCTTTACTCTGTTCACTGGCGTCACACTGGCCTGATTTCATTTCCTCCTGTTGTCTCCTGACTCTGAGCCTTTGCACATCTCGTTCTGTAGACTTGAGCTGTTCTTACCCTTCTTTCAACTGATTAATTGAATCTGCTTACCTTTCAGATCAGCCTATAGCCCAGCGTAGTTGACCCTTTAGACCAGGCCAGGTGCCTCTATCATAGGCTTTCTTGACATCTTGTGCCTGTTTCGTGGAGCACTCGTTCACTCTCGGGTTCCCCATCAGAATATAAGCTCCATGAGGAGGGGGACCATACCCCCCTTTCTTAGCACATTGTCTCGCGCATGGTAGGCACTCAACAAATACGTTGCAAGTTGTATGAAATACGAAATGTCTTTCCGTGTGAAGTTAAATTCTCTTTGAGTATTCAATTCTGGTTGTGACAATTAGCAGGTTTAACAGATTGGTGTTTTGAAGGGAAAGAGGGTAGAGTACAGAAAAAAAATCAGATTTGTACTGTGTTTTTTGGACTCCACGATCTTCTGTAAAGAAATTAAATGTAGAGTTCCATACTGGGGAATGAGAAAATTTATTTTGAACTGTAAGAGCTATTTTGTTATACTTTTATCATGAGTAAGGTTTATTTTAGCCTTCCATTTTTCACTGCCTAGCCTGTTGTGAAGAGGCATTGACATAAAATAAAACTAGACTGAGGCTAATAAGTTATCTCAAGTAAGTCAAGTAAGTGGCAGTGATCTCAGTCTACATATCGGTAGCATGAGGGCAAAGGGGAACCGTGCTCTGTGCTTCCCATGCTATCTGTTTACTAAACACGAACCTTCTGAGTTTTTCAAAATATGTTCTGTGGGATACTAGTTCTTCGAGAAGATTTGCAAGAAGCGATTTCTGAGGCAGGTAAAATTGAATAATGTTTCATATTATATTCCCCTCTCTCAAAGACTTGGACAACATGCATCAGCCCAGTAGAGGGTTAGAGAAGTTGAAACAGTTAAGAAGTATGTGTGACATGTTTAATCCTGGTGTTTCCAAATCGTTCTTGACTACATGAGTTTTTGTTTTCAAATTTTACATAACCCTTAACATCACTTTGGGGAATTCTGTTGTAAACTAATAAGCTTACTTTAGGTTCACAGAGTTTATTTGAACTTACTGTCTGTTAACTTAGAGGGAATGATTTGTTTATGAAGGAGAAGACATGTTTAACTCTACAAACCAAAGTAAAACTCAGAATGATTTGTTTATCAAGGGGAAAACATGTTTAATTCTACAAACCAAAGTATTTCATTAGCATTTTATGGAAATGCATTGAAGAAAGTGGCTTATCTGAGTTTTTGTTTGTTCGTTAATTTTACTGACACAGGGTCTCACTCTGTTGTCTGGGCTAGAGTGCAGTGGCATCATCATAGCTCACGGCAACCTCTAACTCATGGGCTTGAGCAATCCTTCTGCATCAGCCTCCCAAGTAGCTGGGACTACAAGGATGCACCACCACACCCAGCTAATTTTTAAATTTTTTTGTAGAGACAGGGTCTCACTCTTGCTTAGGCTGGTCTCAAACTCCTGGCCTCAAGTGATCCTCCTGCCTTGGCCTCCCAAAATGCTAGTATTACTGCCTGAAAAAAGTGTTTTAACTTTTGATCAATTTGGAGAAGTCAACTTTCTCCTCTGTTAAAAGGTGGGGTTGAACTAGAAGAGATCTCTAATGCTTCTTCCAGTTCCAATATAGAAAATCTCTAAGGTGATTGAATGAATATAAATGTTATTTCCA